CCCAGTAATAATTATAATTAATTAAATATGTAAATTTTTTGCCAAAACCCGTCTTTGTTATTGTCTTATATATATATATTTTTTTTATTAAATAACAGTAAACTTAATTTTCTTCTTCCATTGGTATGCTTATTAATTTCTTATAGTTTTTCCACATCCTTTTTGCGCTCACCTGCAACAATGGCTATCAGCAGCACGAACATTGTTAGCAATTTCATTTTGAAAATTATAAGGTCTGTACGTATGTAAATCAGCAACCCTGCAAACTCTGAATATCCCTTCACGAAATTTTTTATATATATATTTTTGTTTTAACAAAGTAGTTTTTAATTAAATTTCTATACTTTTTGCTTCCTTATTGCACAACGAATAATTTGCGCGCGTGTGGACGTTCTCGTTTTTCGTGTATTCGCCGTCGCCACCACCGAGATCAATGAGATCAGATTCGTCTGAGTTTGCCGTAACGACTACCTAGTGTACATTATGTTAACATGGCTTTTATCGGAGCGTTAAGAAACTTCCACCACACCCTTGATAGCCTCGCTTGTGCCTATGGCCCGTTATCTGTTCTAACTGTTTTAATGCAAATGGGCGTAAATGTGGAAAAAATCGGCATATCTATATAATAAATAATTTAATACTTATTTCTGCAGCTGTATTGGTGCATAAGTGTTGTATATGAAAAAAGGAGAGCAGTTTGTGTGGGTGTGTTTAGGTATGCGAAAATTGCTTATATTAATGTTGGAAAAATTTTGTTTTGAATTGTTAGGTGTTTGTGAAAATATTATATGTAAATTAATACACATACATACTGTTTTCCTATGAAAAACTTATTGTATTTGTATGTGTTCATAACGCCCACACACACATACGCACATGCTGTGTACACGTTTTCAAAATTTATATTCAAATGTATATGCCATACCTATGTGTGTGTGTGCATGTGCGCTTTTTCAATATTGTCGATAACTAGATAAGCCGGCTGATTGCTAAATTATGGAACGACAATAATAAAAAACAGACAGTCGATGTGATTTTTCCCCTTCTTCCTGTTCTCTTGTTTTTTTTTTTTTAGCTTTTATGGAGAGTTAGTTTGTTTGGAGAGCTGAAACGCTTAGTAATAAACTATTCAATATATAACTTAGCTTAACGATTACTGTGGAAACACTCGCAATAAAGTGAATTGCACTTCAATCAGTGTAACTGTAAAACTTACGTCTTCACACTTACAAAAACGAGACCATGTTTGTTCGTATGTATTTATATATGGCACTTGAATTCGGTTTTTACCCCATAAATATTAATTAATGTGCTTTTGATAGCCATTTCCGAGTAGTTGTAAATAAGTACTTCCTTTTTTAAAGAAATTTTTGAAGTAAATAACGATTTTAGAGTGTCATGAAGCTTGTTTTCTTCTTTCTATCACGAAATTTCAATTGTTTTATTGAGGAAGTCAAGATATAAAGTTGTTGTTTAAACACTTTTGTTGTTATTCGGCAGCACTGACATAAATTTGACTGAGCTTTTCGCCGCTTTATTAGCATCAGCTATGGTAGAGTCCTTAGCTCTTCTCTTTACTGGCGTTCGCCTTCTCACTTTAACTTACTTTCAAATGGATATTCTTTGGCAACCCAGAAGAAACTCGGTCTAAGAAAGGAAGTCTTAAGCTGCTTCAGCCATATGTAAAAGAGCCGTTTCTGGCCAATCCCAACTGAGTGACAATCAGAGAGCATTTGCGTGTCTTCTACACATGACTCCATCCTCCTTAGCTCGCATATTGAAATATAATATAAAATCTTTGCATCGCTCGCGAAGTATTTAGGAATAAAGAATTTAATAGATTTGGAACACCAAGCACCCTTCTGCATTTTACTTTAGATCCGGCCATTGTAAAAACTAGAGCTCAACTAGAATTGAAACTTTAGTTATAATATTTCCCAGCACTTGCATTTGAAGTTGACCCTACTTGGGAACAGCAATACTTTTATATATCCAACACCATACTCTTCTCTTGCTTCAATCTCTATTTCGCGAAATTTGGTTAAAAAAATTATTTCTTCAAATGTTCCAAGCGTCATTCCGTCGGAGGTAATCTACGGTCACTATATCTGTTGGAGCAAGTTTGAATAATATTATACAAAACCTTGTTATTGGTAAGATTTATCGACTTTTGATGAATTGAACTATTTTTTATATTCAGTCACACGACATTTGGAACAAGTAAATTTTCAATTACATTTAGGTAACTAAAGTCCCCACCAAGAAACATTTTCTTGAGACTTCATTTTATAACATTTGATTGCATATTTTTAGACGAGCATAACCAATTTTTCATACGACTGAAGATAAATTAAAGGGTGTTTCATTTCGAGGTTCCCTACTTCTTCAAAGAAAAACCGCAGAAACTTAAAATTTAATGTGGAATATTTATTATCATTCAGAAGAACACTATTTGGCATTTATTTTTTGAAGATTATTCCTTTCAAATATTGGGCCCAACAATTCTCAGATGGTCCATCCGTTGAGTCTAATTTTCGGTGACTTGCAAATGACACTCCTGCTGTTTTCCTCCATTGGCCTCCATATCACACGATCTTGGTGCCCAATCGACCGGCCCAAAACGTGAAATTATCCGCTCACCAACCAAACCAAATGTCGCCGAGATCACAAGTTTCAATTTCGGTCATCAAAAAGTCGGTTATCACGGCGCGATAACGGTCGACATTGACGGCATCATTTGTGAAGAAATATGGACTGATGATTTCATATAATAAATGAATGATTTATATATTAACGCCTTATAATAATTAATCAATAAAAATCACTTCTTTCGATCCGACTCTATTTAATATCTTATGAGCTAGAAATTGCATAAACTCCACGATGTTCCTTAAACAAAAAATACTTTGAGTAACTACTACAACATAGCATTGGTCTTTGTGATGCCGGAAACTGTGATTCTATTATGGGAATGACTGATCAACTGCATGCTTCCTGCTCTCGCTCAAGGGTGTAGCAACAGCAACAAGACAAATAGACAATTGGGATTTTTTATTGATAACGGTTGAAAAATTGTTTTAGTTTTTGCCATTGTTTAACCTAGAAAAATACCTTTCGTGTGCAAATACTTGGCTGGAACCTGTAAAGCAGTAAAAATCCATTCTCTTCTAAATAATATGTAGATAATAATTTCCAAAGAAATTCTAAACCGATAAGTATTTTATTCGAAGAAAAGCTAGCATTTTATTAGTATGAAGTACTTAATACGAAGGTCAAATCCTACGCATACGCCTCGTCCCGAGTTGCTTTTGTAAATATTTGTTTCCACTTGTGGTATTAGGTATGTGTATTGCAGTGTGATTCCCGGTTTCTCTTTTAAAATCTGCCTTATTATTAGATCCGAGTGCTCATCGACATTTTATAACCTTTGTTGACTCATTATTGTACTCGTAAGAACCGACTTTATAATTCATAATTTTTCAAATGCAACAAAAACAAAAATTATTTCAACCAATGCGTTAAACATTTTTTGTTACTTAGATACGCGTACTCTCTCAAGTGATAAGAATTTTCTGTAAGCGGGCGGAAGCAGCTTTTTCTTATCTACATATTTACAAATAATTATGTGTGTAGTTAGTGCAAGCAAAGATATTACTTTAAAATATTGGATGTCAACATGTAATAATAATTTTAAAATTGGTTTTCATAAAAGTAAACACATGAGTAACAGTGGTGTCGCAGCTGCGTGTGTTGACTTCGTGACAACTAGTCAAGTAGTCAGTGGTTTGTGGGTGCAAAACCCGGTTGTAACGAAAATTGATATAGAAGTTCCTGAACTGTTTGTCTGTTTTGAACCTCCATGAGTTTTCTGGTATGATAAAGTCTCTTGGAGCCTTTCTTTAAGACTTTCAGTGTCTTATTTAGGAAGAAAAACTTGTCGAAGTAGTTCACAAAGATATAATCGTTCCACACATTCCATACTTTCAGACCTGGAGTATTTTTGTCCATTCGGACGACATGACCCTACCAGCGTAGTCGCTGCCTCTTAATTCGTTGAACTATGTTAATGTGGTCGTATATCTCGTATAGTGACATCGTTCCAGCGACTGCGATATTCGCCTTTGCGATTGCTCAAAGGACCATAAATCTTCCGCAGAATCTTTCTCTCGAAGACACGAAGCATGAATTCATAAAATGTTGTCAGCGTCCATACCACTGCACCGTATAGCTCGACGGGTATGACGAATGACTTGTAGAGTTTGCTCTTTGCTTTACTCTTTTCCCTTTTTGCAGATTGCCAAAGCACATATAAATTCTAATTGTCGGGCACGTTTTCGTTCGACCATATTCGAAAAAGAAGCCGATGCAAGCATGACTTTGTCGCTCCCACTGCTTTGTTGTTCTTCGTTGTATTCAAACTTCTTCATGGTCGGCAATGGAACGTCCGCTCCATCGTCATCGTTTGTGGAGTCGGGTTCACCATATTCTGGTATTAAGCTTTCACTGCCAAACAGAAGGTTGGAGAAGAGTTCCCTCCACAATTTCCGTGTGCTCTGGGCATCAGTCACTAGATCACCTCCGTGGGTTCTACAAGAGTATGTTCCGGTTTTGAAACCTTCTGTTAATCGCCGCATCTTTTTGTATAATTTTGGGGGTATTACCCCTGTTGGTCAGCTAGTCAAGCTCTTCGTACTCACACATTTCGGCCTCCCTCCGTTTTGTCTGTAAATGCGTCTCACTTCCCACATCAGCTCTCGGTATCTATCCCATCCCGCACGTGTTTTGGTTGATTGCAACGTTGCGAGGTTGGGGGTCCGCAAACAAAAATTACATATTTATATTTTAGAAGTAAATGTAAATAAGGTCTAATCAATGAAATTATAGCAGTTGTCAATATTTAGAGTAATTAAGTCATATATCTTAGAAAGATCCCTGAATTGATATAAAAAGAAATGATTTTCAACAATAATTCAAGATAAGTGTTTACAGTTAAGAGTGCTCAAAGTAAAATAACGGAAGTTGTTTAATACTCACTAGGGTTATTTATACGCATGCTTTGTTAAATAGAAGAAGCCTTTGGTTCTTTTTGTGTGTCGCTAGTACTTTAGTTAAATATTGAGTTATAGGTGGGCTGATTGCGTACGCGTGGGGACCATATAAGTATGTTATATTTTAATTTTTTCTTACTCACAGCTGTACTTACGTTAAGCTTTACAAAAGCTTCGTATCTGATACTAGTCGGAAGGCGGTAGAATAGAGCTTGATGTTGTCTACTGTCATCAGTTAGTGTCAGTTATCAAATGTCAAAATTCAGAAATTCAATAAAAATTAATTAAAATTAATAAACTGCTAGACAATTTATAATTAAAAAGTAATAAATCGCAACCATTTAGACACAGAGTTGAATCAATCAATAGTTCAAAAGTTATAAAGATACGTAATAATATTATTATTTCCGTGAATCGATAAAGTTGTAAAAATGA